CTGGCCACGTCACAGCGCTGTTCACATATATCTGTGGTGTTTTGTACGGAGAACCCTTGCCAGGAGGTAAAACCACCACATTATCGAGCACTGCCGCTGATCGTCCTTGACCGCCTGTTTGGAGGGCCGAAGCCCACCTTATTCACGGTTAGCCACGAGGTGACAGCCTTTCACCTATCGGGACCTGGGGATGAGCTCGGTAGCATACAACTCTGCTCTCCCGGGATAAAACTGTACAAATAAGGGGCATTTCAAGTGAGTCTACATATCGCTCTCGGAGAGACGGTCAATCTCGGTAATAATGCTTGCGGTCTCAACCACAGCCCATGCCTCCGATCGGTATTGCCTCTTTCATGCATTGCTAAAAATCACTGATTAAGATCCCAGTGTAAGCTCCGGTTTTATGTAGGCGGCAGGATATCCCTTGTGAACGGATTCACCTGATCACCAAATATGATCTGCCTCGATGTAGGCCGGAACTGTCGACAATCAGGTTATACGACTTGTGGATAGAGCCTAAATGAGTTCAGTTTCTTGCATTGTGAGCCTTACTGCCGAGATGCTGCCTTGATTTATTAAATCATATTGGTTATCAGCGTTGTGGTAGACATTTCCAGCTTTGAATGAAATCAAAAGATCTGTTTAATGCATTAGAAAAATGGTGCACTGGTGACATATTTTGAGAGGTTTTGTGTGGAATTTGATTACAGTATGCGTTCACTATGACTATAGCGACGACAGGCTGTATCATTTACTATAATAAATGAAGGTAAATTCCGTTTGTGATTATTGTGACGATAAAAGACTACGGTGTGACAACTACTTTGTACTGCCTTTGGAAAGCATTCGATAGTGATCGCATGAACTGAGGGCAAACATATTTAGACTCTAAGTTCTGGAGAAATAAACTATTACATGGTTCAGATTTTATAACAGAATTCTTGATAATACCGATTTAAAATGCACACTCAGCAGCGTTCAATTTATTAGTAGTCCTGATGTGACTCTCGGGTTCGAGGCAGGCACCCAATGGTCCCGGGTCCTTAATGGTTTCTTGTTGCCTCTTCATGGAGGATAAAACTGGAAAATCAGAAAAAAATGCCCAAGGACTAGCGATGAGAGTTATTCACGCAACATTATTATAATCAAAAAAGTGTGACAATTTGCTACAAAAGATGCACGAATGCATAAATACATATCTTTTTATTTTACTTCCTTTTAATGAACATGCAATGGTACAACTTTCAGCAAGGGGAAGCGGCCAAACAGAGGCCTGCCATTCAACACACAACAGGGAAAGCCAGGTGTCGGTGGTGGGATTCGAACACATTCCCGGGGTGATAAT